CGCGAATGCAGGCACCGAGGCTACCGTGGCGGCGCCGGCCAGGAGCAGGGCCCTCCAAACGTGCAGGAGGAGGGAGGGGAGCCGGGGGGCGTGCATGGTGGGCTGGCCGGGCCGGGAAGGGAGCCTGGCCCTTATATCCTGGGTCTTCCTAGCCGCCCAGCCCCGCCCTACCTCCCTGGGCGAAGCTTTAAGATCTTATACACGCCCCCCACACACACCCTGGGGGGTGTCCCCCAGAGAGATCCCCTACTCGGGAGGGCGGGGCCTGAGCCTGGTAGGGAGGAGACCCACCAAGGCCCCCCGCGAGGAACCTAAAGGTCCATGGACCATCTAGTTTGCCAGGTCTGGGCACCCTGGCATTCTAAGTGTTACTTCCTAGACAGAGCAGGCTTGTCGCCTGCAAACTCCCAGGTCAGAATTGTGGTTTCCCTGCTCTACTCACCTGGGATCCCTGCCCTTTCCTGTCGCTCCAGCTTCCAGATGTTATGTCTGGCTCAACAAGGAGGAGGTAGGGAATGGCGGTGGACCCTGGTCCACCAAAGGGTGTGGACCCACAGGGGTCTGTGATGTTCAGCCCAGCCTGGCCCACGCAGCCTCCCGACGCTGTCCAGATGGCCTCTGGGAGCACCCCTGGCCTTATCTGGCAGGGCCCATCCGGAGGGTCAGCCTGGGATAAGCTACCGGGTCCTCAGAGTTGCTGGAACCAAGAAGGTGCGCTCCAGACCAAGACCCACGGGGTCCTGCTCCGAATTTGTAAGTGCTCCCCTGGGAAAGGCAGAGGGCAGGAGCCACCAGCATGAAGACCGGCTTCTCCATCAGAAAAAGGAACGTGTTCAGCTGAAGCTGGACCCGAGCCCAGCTGACGGGTGATCCTGGCCCCTCCGTGCCTGTGGTGGCATCAGGCTCTCCCCTTCACAGGCACGCATCGCCGGGTGACCTCAGGGAACGGTGATGGCCAGGCCTGCCGTCGCTGTCTGCCTGTCTGCGCTGGCAGATCCCTCAGGAGACCTCTCACTTCTGGCTGGGGGGGGCGGGGGGGGGATGTTTTCCTCATCAGCTCAAGCAAGATCCTTGCCTGGCTCCCCTCCAGGTGCTAAATCAGATCCCGGCTGGAACCGCCTTTAAAGAAATGTAAATCCCTACCCCAGGTCAGGTTTGAACTGCCTTCCTCCACCCGGGAGGGGTCCCCTCCCCCATGTCCTTTTCTAGCCAACAAGCACATTAGCAGTTGGTTAGCATTTACTGAAACACTGTGTGCCACACACACCTTGGTGTCTCTCACAGGTCGCCTCCAGCTCCCTAGAACCACGGGCTCAGCCCCGCGCAAGTGTTAGACAGTGGAAGGGGGCCCTGCAGGCTCCAGCCCTGGGTGGGGCGGAAGCCAGTCCCACCCAGCAGGCAGGGACCTGGCCTAGGGCAGACCTGGGTGGCAGACCTGCGCAGACCTGGGCCCGGACAATCTGCTCAGCCAGCCGACAGCTAGCTCCTTAAGGCTGGGGACCAGCGTGTTCATGTGCTCTCCCCACAGTGCTGACCACAGCTGGTACCCGATAAGCCTTTGCTAAGTAAACAAGTCAATGAACCGCACTGTGTCTGGGCCTGCCTGAAGACAGCATCACCGGGAGTGTTGGTCAAACTATTGATTCCTGAGGCCCAGTCCAGACCTGGAGAATTAGAATTTGAAGAGAGGGCTTTTTCTACATTTTAGCAAGCACTCCCGTAATCATTTACAAAAAAAAAATACATTTTATTGCCGAAACCGGTTTGGCTCAGTGGATAGAGCGTCGGCCTATGGACTGAAAGGTCCCAGGTTCTATTCCGGTCAAGGGCATGTATCTGGGTTGCGGGCACATCCCCAGTAGGAGATGTGCAGGAGGCGGCTGATCGATGTTTCTCTCTCATCGATGTTTCTAACTCTCTCTCTCTCTCTCTCCCTTCCTCTCTGTAAAAAAATCAATAAAATATATTTAAAAAATACATTTTATTGATGTTAGAGAGGAAGAGGGAGGGATAGAGAGATAGAAACATCCACGATGAGAGAGAATCATGGATCGGCTGCCTCCTGCACACCCCCCAAGGCATGTGCCCTCACGGGGAATCAAACCTCCTGTTTCAAAGGTCAGCCCTCAACCACTGGGCCACACTGGCCAGGCACCGCTTTGATTCCTATCAGACAGCTTTGAGAACCTGGGTGAGCTGGGGTTCTAGTTGTGGTTTGGAAACCACCTCTCCCTGTTCGGTCTCCTCGCGTGTAAAGCATGACTGGGGATACCTCTTTTCATGGAGAGTAAATGAAACGAGTCCTAAAATGCTTTCAAGCTCCAAAACCTGGTGTATTTGTAAAGCTTTGTGCATTTGGATATCAGTGTGGTTGTCACCCAACTTCTCCAGCCTGGAGGCTGGCTGGCTGGGTGCTGTCAGCCCCAGTCCTCTACATCAGACCCTTCCTCAGAGGCAGAAGGCAACCTAACCCAGGTTGTGAATATACCAATAAAAAAGAATGATGGATTGTGGTTAGTGCTGTGGGAGCCCCTGACAAGGACATGGGAACCAAGAATGACAACACAGGGGAGGGGCGCATAGCAAGACAGAGGTATGCCTCCCCAAAACCCAGATCTCGCAAATCCCCTCATGTCCTAGAATCCAGGTGGTCCCTGTTTAAATAGGGACATCAGCACAGAGCAGTTTACCCACCAAGATTGGGGAAGGAAGGAAAAGGATGATGTATCTACTTCCCATGCTCAACCAGAAGATTCTTGAAATCAAGGTTAAAGCTGTATTCATCCTGTGTCCTTTGCACTATGTAGCACATAGTAGATGCTCAATAAATGTTTTGGTTAAAATAAATGCCAATCACAAAAGTTACTACCTTATTGAGAGAAAATATTTTAATATACAAATAAATAAAGCAAACATATTAGAATATATATAGAATCCCTAAACACACATTGGACTTCCATTTTCAACTGTGTAAGAGCTTGTAAATTATCACTCTTATCGTCACAAGAAAAAGCTGGACAATCTGAAAATCAACAATTTTTTTTGACCCATCAGAGAACAAGAGTTAATATTTATTGAGCCCCTAATGCAATAGACACTTTACTCATCGTTGCATTGATTTTATCATTGTCCCCACTTCAGAGATGAGTAAACAGAGGTTCAGAGGGAACCAGGGTACCTTGTTCAAGGTCACAAACTTACAACAGGAAACAGCCAGTATGAGAAGGGAAGGACCACTTGTTGACCAAACCTGTGCTTTTAGGCCTATCCCTTCCCCACAGATGGGAGGAAGACATGTGCCTTGTACTGGGGCTAAAAGAAACAACTCTCAAGTAACAGTCCCGCCTTCCCCAGGGTGCAGGAGCCGCAGACAGAGCTCACTCTGATGTGTATTGGCCCAGAGCCACGCTGAGGCCTGGAATTACTCTTTGACCAGCAAGAGTAACTCTGTCGAAGCTCATCCGTCTCTGAACTTTCTCCTGGAAGAACCGGAGTCTCTGTCGCCTCCTCAGGACAGAGGCGAACAGTCATCCTTCCAATTTTTTTTAACGCATTTACTCATCCAGGATGTGTTTCCTACTAGCAGGTCCAGAAGTGCCTTCTTCCCAGGAAGGGAATGATGCCCTCTCACTTCCCTGCCCCAGACAGACTGACCCACAGACTCCCTGACCTGGGAGATAACCCTGAGGGCCATCCCAGCTGGCTGGAGGGAGGGGGCAAAGTCCCTCAGAGTTCTCAAATGCTTTCCATCAGGCCATCCGGACGCTCTCTTGACATGAGCAACAGTATGTGACCTGTTTAAGTGCTGGGCTCTGAGGTCAGGCCGCCAGGAAGCAGGACCTGGAGCCTCCTCTATTGCTACCTGGGCAAATAAGACCAGTCTCTTAGCATCCGGAAGCCTCTGCTCCCCCCACTGTGAAACGGAGATAAAGAATAGTATCTAGTTGACGGGCATGCTGTAAGTAAAAAGTGTGTGTATTCCTTCATTGAATGAACCTGCTTGTCTATTGTGTCTATGACAGGTTAACTCCAAGAGCTAAATTATCAGAGTCAAGGCAAGAAGCCATTTCAGTCCTGCAAATATTTAATGAGCATTCCCTATTTACCGGTGTGACCCCAGCTGTTTTCACAAATATGTCAGCCACGTGATCCTCTTCACCCTCAGTAAGGCTCTGTGAGGCACGTGAAGCATTTCAGAGATGGTGAAACTGAGGTGCGGAGGAATTAAACAGCATAAGCTGTGTGAGGGCAGAGAGCATCTGCTTCATTGCGCCTCCAGTGCCTAGCCCAGCCCCTGGCGCACAGAAACTCAAGTGTTTGTCGAGTGATTGAATGACCTCCATGTTCCTGAAGCAGGTCCCCAACACACCTGTGCATTTCACACGCTTATTCTTCTGCACACAGCCTCCTGCCGGTTCCACTTTATCCCTCACCTATCAAGACACAGCTTAAAAGTCATCTCTTCCACAAACCTGTCACTAGCTCCCCAGCAATTTGGTAGAGTCCTCTTTTAAATAAAGCCTGGTAGAGTATTTGCCCAAACTGTCTTCAGTGGCCACCATCAGACTGTAGCTCCCCAGATGCAGGGAGTACTCCTGACTTGCTCCTCTCCAACGTCCAAGCCCCTGGTTCATACCTGACCATCGCTTGCTGTGAGTCATGGAGGCCGACACCCTGAGCTGAGAGGTACTGGCTAGGCTGGGCACACGTTCTCTGTGATCTACAACCCCCCTCACAATCCCGTTGTACCCCAAATGCACTCTAGCCCCATGGAAACACCTACCCTTCCCCAAAGTTCAAAGTTGTTCTTCCTTTGCCCAGAATGATTTTGCCCCCTCTTCATTCACACAATCCAGCTCAAGGGTCTCCTCTTCCATGAAGCTTCCTCACGTGGTCTCCCTCCTTCTTCTCCCCTCCCCATTCAGGCTCTGGTCCCTGCCATTCTTTGTTAATCGGTGGAGGTCCTTGAGCCCCTAGGAGTTTTCCACCAGCAGGCCTGCTGCTGGGCTCGAGTGCTGGCCTTGGTGAATGGAGGTTGCAAAACCATGCCCCCAGCAGTAGTTTGGAAAGTTTTTATGTAAGTTGCCAATACTGAA